TTTTTTGGAAACAAATCCTTGAATTGTTGACAAACAAAAAAATCTTGGATTTCCACTAATGGAAAAATTTTGGCTGACCTTGAAAGCATTTTTGGTGGTTCCTTCTGCAAGTACCAGTGCGAAATAAAATGTGTAGTAAGCATTTGGATCTGTCCTAAATGTGCCTTTTTAGGTAAGTTATTAAAACTGAGACACTGCAAACATAATGAATTGAAGAATTAATTAAGCAAATTAATTCTCTTAGGTTAACAGGCCTCTAGTCAGGGGGCTGTTCCAAAAAAAAGTGGAAGAAGATGTGAAATGACTTGCTCAACTTTCACTTCCTTCATAAGAATTCAGAAGAAATGTGATTTTTCTATATAAAGCTTTCTATAACAATTTCTGTATGTGCGGAAGAAATGAACGCACCCAAAAGAAAGAAAATGGAAGTTTTTGATTTTTTCTGATGGAGGCTCTTGCTTGGAGTTGGTGTGCTTTCTTTGATAGAAAACAAATGTTCATTAAAACTGGAAGAGGGCGGACTCCCCTGTCTGATTGATCTTTGGGCCCAAATTGATCTTTCAGACCAGACCAGACATGGCATGCTCCCATCAAATAGAAACAACAGCAAAGAACAGTCCGCTGTGGTTAAGGAGAAGCAGCGAAGAGATGGACAGATGGTATTCAACAGATTGCTAGTAGTCAGCTTCTAAGTATTTGAAGCTACTGGGGGGCTGAGAAAGCTTTCAAAAGTTCCTGTAATACTGCTGTATTCGTAGATAGATTTTTTTGCTTTGTGCAGACTCTATCTCATAACTCATTTAACACTGTCTAGGGAAAGCAGTAATATAAATTGGCAGCCCTAAACTTGTTACAGTGCTTGTTAAAATTCTGTTGATTTCATGCAATTTTTGCATGTAGAAATGTAGAAGACAAGGCAGTGGATCGGATGTCGCATAGGCTGTGGCTTTAATTCTGACTGTGCCACTGAGTGCACAACCTCGGGCAAATCGTCTCTTGTCTCTTCCTTCCTATTCTATAATTTGTCATTACAGGCTAGCAGCTTTTCTGGGTGAGAATTCCTTTACTCTCTCTCTCTCTCTCTCTTTTTTTTTTTTTTTTTTTTTTTTTTAACAATGCATTGAACAATGTAACAATTACAATGCAGCTAAAAGTGCCACTGTATTCACTTCTTGTTTCCCCCAGGGAATGTATGTGTTTTTGCATGCAGTAAAGGGAACTCCTTTTGAAACACCTGATCAGGGGAAAGCTAGGCTACTAACACACTGGGAACAACTGGATTATGGAGTACAATTTACATCTTCAAGAAAATTCTTCACAATCTCTCCTATAATTCTGTGAGTTCAAAACCGTGTTATGGATTAATTGAATCATAAAGCCATGATTTCAAAAGCTGCAACCAGATGAGTTGCAATTTACATTCTAAAAGCATTTTCTCTCTCTTTTTTTTTTTTTTTTTTTTTTTTTTTTGTTTGTTTTTTTTTTTTTTGCTTGTTTGTTTGTTTCTACATCACAGAGGTAGGGAGTACATATTTACAGGCCATATAACCAACAATCTTAATTCCTGCAGCTTTCAACACTCTAATTCACATACTGAAGTCGAAGTTTGTAAACAGTTATTAATGGGGCAGGTTTTAAAGATTAGAAACGTTATGAGGAGAACTTACTGTTAACTCTTGAAGTTCTTTAAGAGATTGTGAAGTCATAAATATTAAAAATCTAAACTAATTGCCTTTAGCGCATGCAGCATTTATTAACCATTTTGCAACTTGTGAGTTAGGAGGAGTGTGGCAGTCCTCACTGAATGGGGTCCAGGATTTTGCACGTCGGTTTTGCTTTGTACAGATTGTCTTCTGTTTACACTAGTTCTGTAAATAGATGAGAAATTCTATGCTGCCTGTCTCTGTTGACAAAAGTATGGTTGTGTAACTAAAGGAAATCAGATATGTATTTAATATCTAACTCTAAAAAGTCTGTCTTTTTTCCCCTTAAGGAAGTTGTCCACTAGCATGGCGGTGTGGAGGGTGGGGGAAGGGAAGATCCTGCATCATGTTTAGAAAGTTAGTTCACAAAGGACAGAAACTGAAAAAATATATGTAACTCCTCAAAAAAATCCTCTCTTTCTTCAAAGATAGCTTCCCGCTTTCCAGTGGGAATTTTGTATTCATAACACTTGCATATGGTTCTCTTCGTGCACTAATAATGCATAAGTAGCTGAATAAACATCTCCATTTTGCTGGGAAAAAAACAAAAACCCAACAATCTGATAGCCCCATTTCTGTGACTAGTTTTTGCAAAGAACAAGATGAAATTATTGGCTCAAAGCGTAAAGAAGTTGGTAGAGAATTGGATTTTCTGAGGCACATTTCCTTATTCTTCCCGTTGAACAGGTTGTGGACTCGCTTAAAAGAAAAATGTGCTAGGAACATCTGCCAGACGGGAAACACTTTAAAATCACGCCAGTCACAGATGTGCTCAGCATAAATGATTTTTGCACTGAACAATGTCAAATGCTTTGTCACAGAGCTTGCTAGGGTAGCAGAACTGCGAGTGTTTTGGTAACAGATCTTACACCGTTTAAAACCTGTATCACAAAATCAGGCTTGTAGCTGCGGAAGTCAGAGACTCCAGCTTGAGGGGCGGGGAGAAATGCTGGAGGAAAGTACTGGCCGAGAGCTGCTTTTTAGCACCTTGAGAAGTACGGGAAGAAGAGACTTAGTCCATAATTTTGCTGTAGATATTGTAGAACCTCAGGTGAGATATTTAACACAGGAATAGATGGGTTGTTAATCAGTAAAATAGGACTGGTTACTAAAGCACTTTTTTCACCTATGCTTTGTTTGTTTATTTTTTAGACAAGGGTGTTATCAGCTAAGCTTGCTCCCTTTTCTCCCGCAGGTACTTCCTGGCGAGTTTCTACACAAAGTATGATCCGACACACTTTATCCTCAACACAACCTCTCTCCTGACCGTGCTTATCCCCAAGCTGCCACAGTTGCATGGCGTTCGAATCTTTGGCATCAATAAATATTAAGCAGAAAGTTTGACACTGACTGCCCCTGACGTGGCTACTGGCGCTCCCCAGGTGAAGGAAATGAGTAGTCTGCTGTGCCATGTATCTAATCGTATTCAATGAGAGGTGCTTTTACATCTGAGATACAATTCCTACTTCCTGCAGCATTGTCTGGGATGAAAGCTGAGTTTATAAGAAGATACCTTCAAATACTTAAATGTGAACCGGAAACCTCTAGAAGAAAGATTTCCATGAAGAACTGGGCAGGCCCAGCTCTAGAGCGTAATCACCACTAAGACTGTAGGTATGCCTGGCTGATGCAAGTGATCTTGTAAGGAAGGTGCGAGTAACAGTTGAAACGGAGAGTAAGGTTTCACAAACACCCAGTCAACCATAATGCAAATGGTAACTTACATACAAATCCAGGACCCTTAATGCCAAGGACTGCTGAGGTCGCGTTCTTAGATTAAGTGAAAGTGGCTAGTTTCTGCTGTATGGATTGTAGGTGTTTGTGCTTGTTATTGCATTGTAAAAGTTTGTCTCACAGTAAATACTGTGACAGCTAGCATAAACTGACGGTGTAATTCACACCTTATCTGTTCTTGTGATTTTTTTTTTTTTTTTTTTGTCACAAAGACGGAAGAAAGTCCTTAGTTGTCAGCTCAGAGGATTTCTACATCAACTTGATTGCTCAGTTTATGTACGCTTTTACAAGTTGCTACTGTTGTGTTTATTTCATTTTGCTTACCAGGATACTGACTTTTCAATGTGTAAATGGGACATCCTGAAAAATTGAAATTCCTTTTAAGGTGTGGATTTTTGACTGTTTTCTCTGATACTTGATTGATGGGTTATTTTTCAGTAGTTGAGAGGCCTGTAATGGTGGGGGAAAGGGTTGCTGCTGTTGTAGGAGCAGCAGCTCCATTACACAGCAACAATGTCAGAACACGTAAGAGGAACTCTGTGTAGGTCCTAAGTTAGAGTAGAAGCCGAACTAGAAGTAGGTGAATAGGCAAATCACATGGACTAACTGTATGCTTTTGCAGAAAAAGCTATAGATAATTTGCATGTCTTGGAAACGTGGAGGGAATGCTGTGTTTTAGGGGTACTGTGTAGTACGGAGTAACTTTTATATCATCAACTCTGGAACTAGAGTGAAGGAGGTACATCTAGAGCTCTGAGCACTTGCTTCTCTGTCGTGGAAAAAGGATGAATTCTGAAGCCTACCATATGTCTGCCAGCCAAAACCGGCTCGGATTTAGCAGAAGATTCCATGTAAGACTTGATTTACATTTTTGGTTGCATTGCCAGCCACAGCCAGTGATGGAAAAAAAAAAATAATAAAAAAAAGCCTACAGTGGCATTCTCCTTTTCTTGCTAAGAGAATTTTCTGGCTGTTTGTTGATAAAGATGTTGCTTTTAAAAAAAAGGTAATGAGTTATGAATTTTTTTCAGCAATTGGAAGTAATTCATTCTTTGTGTTACTTGTACAGAAAGTGCTAACTGGGTAATTTTAGAATCGTGACCATCACAAGGCTATGTAAAAAAAAGCCTACAGTGGCATTCTCCTTTTCTTGCTAAGAGAATTTTCTGGCTGTTTGTTGATAAAGATGTTGCTTTTAAAAAAAAGGTAATGAGTTATGAATTTTTTTCAGCAATTGGAAGTAATTCATTCTTTGTGTTACTTGTACAGAAAGTGCTAACTGGGTAATTTTAGAATCGTGACCATCACAAGGCTATGCTAGCCCTTTGAAAATCACTGTTTTGTGTACAAGCGACAAGGATTTTCAGGGACGGACCGAATTTGTCGACGCGGAGCGGTGGCGACGCGTGTTGGGACCGCAGGTAACGGGGCAGGGACGCCTTCGGGCGGTTGTACAAAGCTCTTGACTTGTGGAATTGAAATCACTTGCCCTCTGGCGGCCGCCTTTTCTTTTCGGCCTTCCG